TTGAGGTAGATAAGTGGCTTTTTTTTAATTGTCATAATAAATAAATACAGATATATTTTAATTCATTTTAACTTGCATTAATTCTACTGGAACAGGTAGTTGCAGGCGTGATGGACCAGCTTAATATGCAGATTTCTCCATTTGTCAGGATTGATCTTTTCCAGATTATTCTAATGCAAGCTTTGAGCATCGGTAACCAATGATTGTAACTTAAGATATATCTCAGCATGTTCTTGAATTCAAAATCATTCAATATCTTAATACAAACACTCACATAAAGATACATGAGGTTGTGATCTTGATTCCTCAGTGCCCCATGCTTCTAGTAAGTTGTGAAAATCACAAGTTGTATTCATGGATCCACCTAACAAACTCTTGATAAGTTTCAATCTGTTACATGTTATGACAGGAAATATTTAAGTTGTTAATACAGCTTTCTAGCTCCAATAAGGAAGATTCTATACTTTTATTGTATTTTATTATATTGACAATTAGCATCATTCTTCTAAACTAAAACCAACTGCCTCAGATTTTTTGTTGTGTCAAAATTACCGGACGAAGCTTCGTTTTGACCTAATAGAATTAATTTGTTTTCTTATTCCTAATATTCTCTATCAACACATTTTATCCTGTCTGTGAAAATTGGTTGCCTAATTCATAATCTCGTAGTTGGTTTAATACTGCCTACATATTACTCAACCAAAATACTAACATACTGGAATGACTACCTATTCACGTGGCATTGATATATATGTCTTACACAGTCCATTAACTTCATCACAGATAAAAGATATGTGAACTGGACTCTCCAGGTTGCTAGTGCTCATGGACAAAGAGCGGCATTGCCTTTCATAAAGTCTGTTGAGGTGAGTTCATATGTTGAATGTCTTTCTGCTTGTATTCTTTTATATCCACTTTTCAAGTTTGCCTGACTTTTGTGGTGTATTAATGTTTTCAAAAATAGTAACTTCATTCCTAGTTTTCTCATTCTGTACTTTTGGGAATCTTGATGGTGGACTCCTTGCTCATTTCATTACTTATTATTGGTGAAATTTATGTGAAATAGGATGAAAGTATAGAATATGGATATCAGGGTTGTTAGTTATATGGAACTAAATAATATATTGGGAATTTACATTTACTCTAATTTCTTGATTGGTTTGGGGTTTCATAACTCACGAGAGATGTGATGAAACCATTCTTGTGCCTTCCCTTGTTCCAAACTTCTGTTTTCCTTTGTCAATCTTCTTCTCCTTCTTTATATCTCCTTTCAGTCTCTCTCTCAACCCTGCTTGTTTCCTTTTAAGAGTAAGAATGGATCTTTCTAGTTCGAATTTGTAACCTCTTGATTGGAATAGCTTCACTCCCTTCATCAATCTCATGTTTTTTGTGTAAAAGAAATTAAGGGAAGGCTAGATATTGAGTGGCGTATCTGTCCTTGTACTGCAGATCTCCTTCTTGGACAGGGAAGATTACAAAGCAGCTATTCTGGATAAGCAACCGTTTCGGCTTAAAAGGTTTTCACACACTATGCAATGTGTTTCTTTCTGTGTTGATAAATTTTTTTACAGTTTATTGGTGCTTATGAACTAGACAAGATAAAACTGATTTCGGAAGAATTGTGAAAATCTAGGTGAATTCTGGAATTATGGTAACAGAATTCTTCATTTCATTGGGTTGCTTGATTTTAGATTCTCATAATAGATGTCATGGCTTGCACTCTCTTCTTTACTATTTGGTTGACTGATATCTCAGGAGAACAGCATATAACAAAGCATTTGAAATGGTTCTGAAACTCAAATTCAGTGATGGCTGTGGTTGCTCATCCCTTGAAATTGATGTCCCTGTTGATTTTAAGGTGAGATGTGTTGCTTAACATTTACCTATCTTCTCATATGATGTCTCAGTCTCACTTTCCATAATAGGTGAATGAAAAGTGACAATGTAAGATTGGGAAACACCATTTGTTATTTAAAAATCCCACTCTTTTTGTCTTTTTCATCCAAAAAATGTTTTGCATTATGCATAAAATTTGTCTGTGGTGAATTGTTCTAGCTAATGCCTTGCCTGAAAATTCATTGTGGCAGGTTTCAACTGACTGCTTTGACTTTGATAAGGATTACATATTCCAAAAGCTGAGAGACAAGGCAGTTCTTGAATCAAGATGTGGTCAGAATGCTGTTATTGAGAGAAAGACCATCTTGACACCTAGAAGTGATGTCACTACCTATGCCATTGTGACCAATGTTGTTCAGTACAGCAAAACATGCGAAGCAGCCCTTGATTCTCTAAGTAATGGTGATCTTAAAAAAAGAAAAGCTAGTGTGGCAGGTACAGGATCATCTAGGAAGCGTTCAAAAGGGTCCTCCATGTGTAAATCTAGATCAGAGAATATTAGGGACTATTTGTAGGTTATATATGTATGATATTTCAAGCATTAGAAACTGACAGGAAGGAAGAAATGTAGAGACTGGGTGAATTTTGTTAGATGTTACACTCAGTCATCTCCTAAATGGTGTCCATGATATACTAAAAGGCTTTTGATACCATAATTGCTAATATAGTGGGTATTCTTGGTGTGGCTTTTGGAGTGTTTCCTCTATGAAATTTCCTGACAACTTTTGATGTGAATCAAGGTGTAAATGGAAATTTAGTTTGAGTAATGCAAAATATTTGTAGAACTCAACTAACTGGTGTAAAATAATTTTTTCGGTCCCTTGATCCATAATATTCTTATCTAGGATTTTTCATGACTCGCCAAATTGATCTTATTTGGAGTTTGAATTGCAAGTGGAAATTGCTGATTGTTGATATTAAAAATTGTCCATATTTTCGTATTGTTAATTAGTCAAGTACTCAATTTGTGTTTAATGGTGAATTCATCATGCTTAAGCTCTTCTTTAAGTACAACCTCTTCCACAATTTTTTGTACCTTCTGATCTATTACCTTTATTGCCTAAAATATAAAATCTAAAGTAAATAATAATAAAATGATTATGATCATGAAGTATTTTTTTTCTTCTTTTTTTAATGTGCAGGATTCTTTAAACGTTAAGGAATGGTCAATTGAGAAAATTTATCCTAATAAAACAAGACAGTGCCACTCGTGTTTATATATATACACGTATCTATGTATGTATGTAAGGCGATATATGATTTTTGAATATAACTGTTTTACTTCTAAAACATTTATTTTCTATACTTATCTTTTATTTAGTTTTTATTCTTTTTTATAACTTTTTTGTGAAATTATTTTTTGTAAATAATTACACCAAATAGGTCACTCTAATTATTATTTACTCACATATTTAATATTAATTATTTTTATTTATTATTTTATTTATGTAAAATAATCGGAGTTAGGAAGTATTTTTTTATGCTAGTACTTATTATTAATAAAGAAGATATTTTCTTTTGGTGTACATATTTTTCCTCCTATATTATATAATGGTGATTTTGTATTTTTGTTTACACTTTTTTATTTTTACAATTTAACCTTTTTAAATGAAAATAAAAATAAAAACTGTACGATAATAATTGTTGAATAACATTGAGATCATCACATGTGCTATATGTATACTATATGAATGTTTTATTTATGCTATCAAATCAATTCAAATGAACATTTGCTACCACCCACACAAACTGATAATCAACCACTTAAGCCGAAAACCATTGATAGAGTTGCATTACATCCAAGAGGAATCTGATATCAAAACATTCCTCACATTATAATTTTAAGATTGTGTTACAAAAACTATTATACAAATTTCTATTGCAAACCAAAATTACTTAAGAGATAGAGAAATTATTAAAAAAAATAATAATAAATCCCACTATTCCCTCATACTTTCTAGTTCTTAGAAGTCAAATAAATTATCCTACGAGACTCCTTTTTCGGTGGAGACAAGAAATTCAATCAAGATATTTCCCCTTTTTCCTTATGTCTGTGATAGGGAAAATTCAAAACCTCCACTAGCCACTGTTTGTATGCTAGGCAGAGGCTTCATTTTAGTGTAGTTCCATATGAAGTTTTTGCCACAAAAGAAATAATCTTTGATTCAATTTGTAATACCCTTGTTAACGATGTCCTTTTTCTTACTTTTTACGAGGCGTTTAGTACAAGAGTTTTTTTTTCTTTCAAGAATATGAAGTTCATGAAGTTAGTTTGTTAGGTTTACTAATTAAAAATCTCATGAAATTGTTACCATAGGATATATAAGAATATAACATTCATGAATTAAATGAAAAGTCTTTTTACCTATCTAGTACAGTAAAAATCATTAATTTTCAAATAAAATATATAAATATATCCAAAAACATTTATATCAATCAAACACATTTTTAATTATTTTTAAAAATTATGATTCTCATTTCTCAATAATCATAATTTCCAGATATAAAGATTTTTCCCTTTCACCAAAGGGCCCTAGTGTGCGAGAGTTGTGATGTTATCATTTTTTTTCACAGTTCACTTCTTTTCTTTTTAGATGTATGAAGACTATGAAGATACGCCTAAATATTTCAATAAACTATTTATCACCATTATTTAATAAATATTCTGTATGAACTACTACCTATTTCGGTAGCCAATCAAACTGCACGTACAAAATATATATATATATATATATATATATATATATATATATCTAAAAAGTAGCTAATTTTGCGGTAGAGGTGTCGCAACTGAAAAGTTTTTTTGGTATAGATTTTAAGATGAATAAATCAATTTAGCCATTTAATTTTGTAAATCTACTTCCCATTCTTTGAGGAGGTACCTCTAACGTATGTTGGAGATTAGTCACCGGCAGTGGATATTCCATGGACGAACCAAATTTTTTTTTTTGCAAATCTACTATCCTGCAACTGCAAGTAAATAAAACTGCTGGAAGGGAGACAAATACATGGGATAGACACTCCTTTAAAAAATTAAAATCACTTTCTTACTAAATTGAAGAACATTTCTGAGGTCATAAAAGATAATAAGCAACTCAACAAACTGTCAATAATAATTATATATATAAAAGGCTATTTCCAAGGTCTTGAATAATCAAGAGTCCTACAAATGTGGCACAGTGGATTAAGTGCATTCACTCTAGTAGAGTAGCCAATGAGTAATCTCACTGAAATCTTCAAAAAGAAATTAGTGATGTTGACTATCGCTTTACATGAAGTTGTGTTTTCCCAATCTAAACTTTGGCCTTACCAAAAAAAAAAAAGAATAAGCAACAAAAATGAGATTTTAACCTAAAGGTGAAACCAAACTTTCATGATAAGTTTGTATATTGTGCCAATGGTGGCCCCTAATCACAGGAAAATCCCACCTACCAACATTTGGGTCATACAAAACTAACTTGGAAAATGCAGTTTTAATCAGAATCACACCATCTTCTGAAATGCACAAGGGGATAATGGAGTGAAACCATCTCAATGGATCATGCTCATAGTGAGGAGACATGGTCAATTTATCCCAAGTGCAAACACCTTGAACAAAGTGAGGGACCGTCATCAATTTAGTCCAAGAATCTTGAACTCCATACTCCTTCATCTGCCACAAAACCCAATTCTTAGAGTCAAAGAAAGAAACACAGAGACAGTTTCTGAGGATAACCAGCTCAGGAATGCAAACAATGTCACTCTCCCCAGCAGGAAGCAACACTTCACCATAACTCTCAGTCACCAAATCAAAGGAAACAATCACACTTCTTTCATCATTCTTAGCCTTAGCAAACCAATTAAGGGTGCCAGTGCCAGTCACAAAATGCCCCTGTGACTTGGTGGGACAACACGGAAAATTCTGAATCACCTTCCAAGACTTGGAATTTGAATTTGCCCCAAAGGTGTATACTTTGGTGACGGTTTTTTGGTCGTTCAAAGTTAGGAACAACTTGTACTTGTGATTGACGTGGTCATAGCCAAAACCACGGTGAGTAACATACTCACGAGGATTACTAAGACGGGTTAAAAACGATTTAGAAGCAATTCTAATGGCGGGGTTCCACAATTGGATGCTGCGTAGGCGAATGTTGAACAAACAGAGTAAGCCATGGCATGTACCTAGAATGCTGAACTCGTCACTCATCATGAAGCAGGTGGATTCAGCAGGGGTTGATGGGTCTTGGAACAGAGATTCCACACAGCAAGATGTCATTTTGAAGGGGTCAGTCACCATGGGAGAGAGCAATCGTTGGTGGGTCAAGTCGCTCGAGGTTCCATCGAGGTGTTCCTTCACGAATTGGGGATTGGAAATTAGGGTTTTCCATGATTTGGAAACGCACCTGAATTGCAAAAGGAATTTCACCGGAACCCTAAGGAGGATCTCTTGGATGAGTTCATCCGGTAACACCGGTAACGGAGGGGATTCATCGGTGGCTGAAGAGAGAATCTTTGGCACCTTGGTGGTGGTTTCCGTCATCTTTCTGTGCAAACAGTGTTCTTGTGATGTTCTTCTCAACCCACAAAAGTTACATTCAATATGAATCATGGTGAGATAAACAAAGTAAAAGTAATATAAAATAAAATAAAATATATGAAGATAAAAGAAACAGAATTTTTTCTTTTTTTTTTACTTGATAGATACTACTGGATAGAAATATCTTTAGATCTGGTATAAAAACTGAAATAAAGTGAAAATAATAATAATAATAATAATAATAATAATAAAATATATGACGATAAAAGAAATAGAAAAAAAAAATTACTTGGTAGATACTGGATGGAGATATGTTTAGATCCGGTGGATATAAAAACTGAAATAAAATGAAAATAATAATAAAAAAAAATAAAATATATAAAAATAAAAGAAATAGAAGAAAAAAAATACTTGATAGATACTAGATAGAGATATCTCTGGATACGGTGGGTATAAACACTGAAATAAAATTATATAAAAAAATAAAAAAATAATAATAATAATAATAATAAATATTTGAAGATAAAAAGAAACAGAAAAAAAAACTGCATATAAGAGATATCTCTAGATTAGGTGTATATAAAAACTGTTTTACATTATATAATTTTTTTTATTTATATTTTTTATATTAAATATGTTAGCTTCGTATAGATTAGTTTTTTTTCTTTATTTTAAAAACTATTTTAAAAATAAAAATAAAAAACAGAAAAAAATAAAAATGTGAAACAATGAGACAAAAAGTAAAAATTATTTTCACAACTATTTCTTAAATATTTTAAATAGTAATATCTTATTTTAGGATAATATAAGATATGATAAAATATTTTAACAGCAAAATAATGATATGCTGGGATATGATAAAATAAGATATTTTATCTTATATCAATAAGTTATTTATATAACATTTATATTTTTAAATATAAATGAAATGTTTGTTTTAAAATCAATTGATACTTTCAAATATTTATACAGTAGATGACCAAATTACACATTTACTAACTTTATATAAAAAATGGTTAAGGGAGTTATTTTATTGAATATAATTTATTTTTATGTATATTTGTATATATATATATATA